ACAATTAATTAATTATTAAAATTACTACAAAATAAGTAAAAAGATATTACATTCCATTCCTTGACTGTTGGATGTACATTAGGATATGGGGAAAGGAGGGAGAGAGTTGGGTCTGTAAGACTGTATTGACTGACGGACATGATAAGACAATAAGATCAGGTCATTATTATTATTATTATTATTATTATTATTATTATTATTATAATTATATTATTATTAATTTTTTCAAACTTCAGTTGGCTGGTCGCCATGTGGACACATGTTGGCAGCTGCTAGTTTTGACGGTACTGTTAGTATATGGGACAAGAGACAAGGTGAATGATACTGTAATTAATACTGATACTTCTCTCTCTCTCTCCCCCCCCTCTCTCTCTCTCTCTCTCTCTCTCTCAGATTTTCAGTGTAAGAGTGTACTAGAAGGACATGAGAATGAGGTTAAGTCTGTGGTATGGTCTCAGTCCGGTTCCTTCCTAGCAACTTGTGGCAGAGACAAGAGCGTGTGGGTATGGGAAGGTATGGGAATGGAATATAGGGAACATGGGAACACAATCGTATTTATTTGTATGTTTGTTTATTTATTTATTTATTGTTAGTTCTCAGTGATGGTGAAGAATTCGAATGTTCAGGTGTTCTGTTACACCACACTCAGGACGTGAAAACTGTTAGATGGCATCCACACGAAGACGTAAGCCATAATCACATGATCATCACATGATCATCACATGACCATCACGTGACCATACGTTGATAGGTGCTAGTCTCTGCAAGCTATGATGATACTATTAGAGTTTATAAAGAAGAGGATGATGATTGGTGAGGGGTGTGGCTAGGGGTGTGGTTTATTTACTCGTACGTAGGAGCTGTACATGTACAATGGAAGGACACACCTCCACAGTGTGGGGTATTACTTTTGATGAGTCTGGGAATAGACTGGGTATGTGTTTCATTTGGAACCATCTTTATTTATTTAATCTTTTTTCTTTCCTCCTTCTCCCCAGCCTCTTGCAGTGATGATAAAACCATTAAAATATGGCGGTCATACAAACCCGGTAATAACGAAGGTAGGACCCTCTTCATTGATAATACATGTACATGTACATTTCCTTACAAGGTATTCCTACTCCTGATGGGGAGACAGTATGGAAGTGTTCATGTACTTTAGGAGGACATCACTCAAGATCAATATACACTATTGACTGGTGAGAGAGGGAGAGAGAGGGGGAAGGGGGAGAGAGACTTGAATGTGTTATTATTAATCAGACTACACCTCTTTCTCTCTCTCTCTCTTTCAAGGTCAAAGTGTTCAGGACTACTAGCAGCTGGTGGAGGAGATGACACCATTAGAATATATAGAGAAGCAAGTTTATTTTATTTATTTTTATTTATTTATTATTGTTGTTGCTGCTGTAGGATCCTGGTTCTGATCCAAATCAATCTAACTTCTCTTTATTATGGCAACAAGAAAAGGTTCACAGTATCAGATACATGTACACCATTAATGATGGCATATCCTCCTTAGGCTCATTCCACTGATGTTAATTGTGTCTCATGGCACCCAAAAGACCCTCAGTTAATGGCGTCTTGCTCTGATGACAGAACTATAAAAATCTGGAGGATTATCAGTCAATAATAATAATAATAATAATAATAATAATAATAATAATAAATAAAATTAATTATAACATTCATGTATAATAAACTCAATTATTAACTACTACATGTGGTATGGGTGTGGCTTAGCCTTAGGTAAGAATTCAGGAAGATTTGAAGCATAGCTGATCTGGACAGAGTTTGAGCAAATTATAGAAAGATCTAGTTTGAGATAAACTGGAGTATGTCCAATGCTAAGATAGGTGAGTTCGCCTCCGACAAGAGTGTGACAGAAAGAACCAAAGATGCTACAAACCTCACCAAATGAATACCAATGTCTTTTTCTTCCTATAGCAACAGTAGACCCATCAGACGAGTCCAAGGCCCTCGAAGAATTCACGAAAAAAGTCCCGAC